GACTCCTTCTTCTGCTCCGGATAATAATATCCTGGCAACAAAACCGTGTGCTGGATGATGCCTCAGCCTTGTCACCTGCGGTCCTCACCCTGAAATTCTTCCTTTTTTTTTTTTTTTTTTTTGCTTTTTGGGTCACACCCGGCGATGCACAGGGGTTCCTCCTGGCTCTGCACTCAGGAATTACTTCTGGCGGTGCTCGGGGGACCATATGGGATGCTGGGAATCGAACCTGGGTCGGCCGCGTGCAAGGCAAACACCCTACCCGCTGCCCGCTGGTATTACTCCAGCCTCCTCTCCCTCCTCCAGTTTTTATAAATAGTTCTGTACTCAGAGGTCACTGCCGGCAGGTTCGGGGTATGAGATGGGGTGCTGGGGATTAAACCCAGGTCAGCGGTGTGCATGGCAAGCCCGTTGCCCTCTGTGCTGTCTCTCTGGCCGCTATGCTTCCTTACTGACTGCAAAGATACCGAGAGGTCTGGCCCTGCTTCGAGGTGAGGATGGAAGGTCCTCCCTGATGTTGGGAGGCGAGCGAGATCAGTATCTTGTCCGTGCGTAAAGCGGGAAGAAGAAATGGGGTGTACGTGTGTAAAAGGAGGAGAAAACCACCGTGGCTGGCTACACTGGCCAGGGGTTCAACGCAGGAATTTGCCAAGAGGCATACAAATCTACCTCTTTGCTGGGGGAGGACATTTTATGGGCAAACACTCATACACTCAAACATGGGGTTGGGCTGGACATCACTGGTTTGACTCAGAGCCCGGCTCTAGAGCTGTGTCCACAGCTCTCGGTGCTGGGGGCATCACTGTGCCCTGCTTCTCATGTGACATCTGAGCGACAAGGGCTCTTAGGGGTCATCTGACCCCATCATGATCCAGACAGGATGTTGCAAGGGGAAGCCTCGGTTTCCCCTTGGCAGCTGCTGGGAGCAGTTCCATTTGGGCTGGCTCCGCTCTATATTTTTAAACATCCCTGCAAAATCTGGGGCTCTTTCTGAGAATGTGACGCTTTACAAGTTCCCAAGACCATAAATTCTGTCCCAGACCTTGGGCTCACAGGAGACTAAGAGATAAGGGGCAATAGCTAGACGAAATGAATGATCAACCAGATAACCTCAAAGTCCCTAAACAAGCCAGACCACTTGGTAATCCAGTAGGAATCCTTGCACTGCATAAGACAGAGGGACCCAGGTTTTCTATTAAAAACAATCAACAACACACACAGCAAAAAATGAGTCATACTGAACTTAGTCTTATGCTAAATTCCTCTCTGGTTGGAGACTTTCTTTCTCTTTTACTTTTCAATACATTTCAATACATTTCTGAGCATCTTTATGGCTCAATGTTTTCATCCGTGAACATATCGAGGAGTCTGGGAACCACGGAATAACCCCAGGACCCGCCATCACGGCTCCTGTGTCAATGTGACCAACCTCTTTAATAGAGGAACACGCAAGAGACTCCAACAGAGAATGTGAGCGTTTGACCTGGGCAATCTCGGAAAGCGCGAGATTGCACAGGATCTGTTTGTTCCAGGTATATTCGCACAAGCGTTTTCCAGGTACATTCCCACAAGAGTGGACAGGCATCGCAAAGCCAACTGCCTCTCTTTGGGTGAGTCGCTAAGCAGAAGGTTCAAAAATCATTTTCTCCTGTTGCCAGTAAGGAGCAGATATACAGAGAGATAAAGCAAGTGAGAGAGAGTTAAAGTTGTGGTCACACAGCAGTGCCCGGGCAAGAGCTGGGCTCTCTCTTCTTTTTGTGCTCTGTTAGTCCAGCCCGACATTCTGTTTCTGCACCGAGAGCCTAGCTGGAGATCAGAACTAGCCAGAGGGCTCCAGGGGGAACCCCAATTCCAACAGAGCTCCCCAGCTTGGAGTGGGCTTTCCTCAGCTGACCCCAGGGAGATAGAGCAGACAGGACAGAGAGAGAGAAAGAAAGAGAGCGTGAGAGCGAGTGAGAGAGAGAGAAAGAGAGCGAGAGAGAAAGAGAGAGTGAGAGCAAGCAGGAGAGAGAAAGAGAGACAGAGAAAGAGAGAGCGAGAGAGAAAGAGAGAAAGAGAGAAAAAGAGTGAAAGAGGAGAGAGAGAAAGAGAGTGAAAGAGAGAGGAAAGAGAGAAGAGAGAGAGAGAGAGAGAGAGAGAGAACATAGAAGGTTGAAAGCTTTCCGTTCCTTTTGCTCCTTCAGCCAGAAGAGACCTTGACTTTCCTCTCAAGGACTCTGAGAGCAATCCTGGACCGAGGGCAGGAGCAGCAGCAGGGGCCACTTCAGGAGAGACGGAAGGGCTGAGAGGTGCTTCTCTGAGTCAGGAGCTGACGCTCCCGCAGGAGGGCAAGAAGGTGAAAATCCGCTTCCTGTAGAGCTAAGATCAAATGCCATAAATGCCCTGGGTATGGGGGAGCTGCTGCCAAGAGCCTGCCGTTCCCTCCACTCTGCTCTGAGAACCAGAGCGCCCCCTCCCGGGCCAGGAGAGAGCACAGGAGCCTCGCAGAGCTTCCTTGCACGCACAAGGCCTTGGCTTTGACTCCGGGCACTGCCTGCTCATTCTCCATGGCCCTGGTGGCCTCCAGCACCTCTGGGCCTGAGCATTGGACTGTTGGCCCTGTTGGCCTAGTACCCCCAAGAGGGATTCTCGGGACCACTGAGCACTGCTTGGCCACACTGCTGGTCTTGGGACCACCCGGTGTGCAACCAGATGAGACCAGGTTGTCTGCTTAGATGAAGGCTCGAACTCTGCACTTCTGCAGTCTGTCCCTCGGAGACAGAGACTCGTTTGAAAGAAAAAGATCCTGACAAACATGCAGTATTTCAACCTTGACCCTGCTTCGAAGGCCTGTGCACATCACCACCTCGATTCTTACAATGCCAGGAGACAGGTCCTGTGGTCAGCCAGTTCTTATGGACTGTGAATGGCTAAAAGAAGCCAAGGTTTACCCTGGGGTGCGTCTGACTCCGGGCTAGTCGACTGCCAATCTGTATCGAAGCTCTCAACTCACACCTTGTTTCACCCAACTCACCCTTGCTTTCCCCAACTCACACTCTTTCTTTCTTTGGGGGAGTCACCTCTGAAAAGGTTCTTCATTCCCCATTAGCTAAACGGGGTTCCCTCAGAGACGTCTTGCTGCACTTTGCTCCTAAAGGTTCATTTCTGCAGACCCGGGGAGGACCTAGTAGACATCAAATGATCGGGGAGGCACAAGATAGCAAGAGCTGGCCGGGCGACCAGCGAGTGACCCGGGGAGCCCCTGGGTGTCCTGTTTTCACTCGCATTCCAGGCTCTCTCTGGGAGCGTTCAGTGGACACTGATAGGGTCTCTGGGCAGGGCACCAGGAAGCATGGCCCAGAAGCTTCTGTGGCAGGCCCTGGGCCTAGGTCATAATCCTTGTGGCTCCTGTACAATGTCTGAGTTCCCTAGCAGAGACAGGAGTGGGTCGCAGAGGCGAGCACTGGACCGGTGGTCCACGCCTCTGAGCTCCCCGAACCTGAGGACACGGGGGTCTTCATCGGAACCTGCCTTCCCTACAACTCCAGGTCCTGCTGTGAGGGCAGACTGGCTGTCTGGAGCCCACCCCAACCATGCATTCTCATGGGGTGCCTTCAGAGGGTGGGGGTGCGTTTGTGACACACATGTGCTGGCTGACTCGGGTCCAGCTTCGGTGGCCTGGGGGGAGGTGCCAGGGTCCGTTTGCCTGGTTCCGCCCTCAGCACAAATGAGGAAGTGTAGAAGTGAGGAGAAAGCTTGGGTCTGGGGAAAGGGTGGTGGGAGGGGCACGTTTACAGGGATGGGGTTGGCATAAAGTGATGGAGATGAGACTGGAGTAGTCCAGCATAGGGGTCTTCCTGCCCAGAGCCCCTGCCAGGAAAAGGGGGTCTTGGGCTGGAACGATAGCACAGCGGGTAGGGCGTTTGCCTTGCTTGCGGTTGACCCAGGTTCGATTCCTCCATCCCTCTCAGAGAGCCTGGCAAGCTTCTAAGAGTATCCCACCCGCATGGCAGAGCCTGGCAAGCTACCCATGGTGTATTCCATATGCCAAAAACAGTAACAACAAGGCACAATGGAGACATTACTGGTGCCCGCTTAAGCAAATTGATGAATAACGGGAGGACAGTGCTACAGAGCTACAGTGGGCTCCTGGCGGTGTCACTCTGAATCCCACCAGCTCTGGATCCCCGAACTTTTTTCCTTGCCCTTCCCACTTCTTCATCTGTGAAATGCAGCTAATGAGAGGCCAGAGAGATAGCCCAGAGGGTAAGCGTTTGCCTTGTATGACTTTGGCTTGATCTATGGCACCACCTGGGGTTCCTTGAACCCTGCCAGAGTGATCCCTGAGCACAGAGCCAGGAGGAAGCCCTGGGCACCACTAGGCGTGGCCTGCTCCCCTGCTCCCCACCCCCACACAGCAAAGGAGAAACTGGCTGATTGAAGGAGTGTTCCTCAAGAAGCGAGTCTAGCAGGGCCAGCGAGATAATATGGGGCAAAGGCACTGAACCTGCAGGCAGTTGGCCTTGGTTTGATTCCCAGCCCCTCAGAGATCCCCCAAGAACTGCCAGGAGTGATCCTTGAGCTCAGAGCCAGGAACAAGCATGGAGTACCACCAGGTATGGCCCCAACAACAACAACCAATTAAAAAAAAGAGAGAGAATTTAGAATAGCGTGGAGCTATGGCGAGCTCCCAGTCCATGCGAATGAGGCTGGAGAATCTGTTTATGGGGTTGGGGAGATAAATCCAGAGGCAGAGCATGTGCCCTGAACATGTGAACCCTGAGTTTGCTTCCTGACACCCCATGCCCCCAGCCCTGGGGCTGGTCCCAGGTTGGTTCTGAGCCTCCACAGGGCCCATGCAGCTCTCAACAGTCCAGCCTGCACCACAGGGCCTTTGCATCACCAAAACTCTGGCAGCTCTATCATGGGGGTGTCCCAGACATGACCAAGCCAGGAGCCCACTGAGGGCTGTTGTTGTGCCCTGTGCCCCAGAGCGTGGCCGAGACGCAGCGGGTACTCACTTTTTCAGGGCGCTCTCCAGCTCTGTCTTCTCATCCTGGGCTTCTTGGAGCTGTGCGAAGATTCGGGTCAGGACGTCCTCAAAGCTGGCCAGGAGGTGGGGCTCGTCCTTCCGCAGCTGCAGCCACAGTTGCTTCACGTCGCTCTCGCTGCAGGAGCAGAAGGGACCTCAGGGTCAGGGGGTTCCCATGGGTGACTCGGGGGTCATCACAGCAGAGCTGACCATCTTTACCATGGTGCCAGGGCTGAGAATGCATTGCAACAGGGGACCAGGAGGGGGAGGAGGGGACAGTGGAAACGGGGTCAAGGGGGAAGGAGGAAAAATTTGGCCACGCTCGGAGGACGATGCTCAGAGCAGAGAGGGGAAGGGGGGCAATCTGGTGGACCTGGTGGATGGCAGGAAGGAACTCTCAGGGCTCTCATGGGGAGAACAGCATCCCCCCATGGGCCTGGGGGTGTCAGGAGTGACAGACAGGCAGAGCGCAGGGAGGGAGCAGGTCTAAGTGACGTGTGTGAACCTGGAAGGCAGAGAGAAAATCAGGAGGGACAGAGGTGGGCAGAGAGACAAAAACTCGGGGTGACAGGTGCAGAAACAGGCCTGCAGGCCATCGGCAACACTCAGGGACACGCTGATGGGGAAGGGGTGGCAGGAGGAGGCGCGCTCCAGGGCCTGCGGTTTCCTCCTAGAGAAACTCACTCAGTCATAGGCAGGGAGCCCTCCATGGCACCCCCCTTACAAGCTCAAGCCTCTCCGACAGGGGGCAGCTCCAATGAGGCACTCTTTCAGGATAAAGAATGAAACTCTCCAAGTTTGTGGAACAGGTGCCAGGTCTGAGAGACTGCTCCAAAGGGGTATCTGACTGTGACGTGTGAGGAACTATGGAACCAAGGGCAGGCTTCAGAGCAACAGCCTCCTTGGACTAGTTACGGAGAGTCAGTCTAATCACCACTCCCTCCCATACTCCTTCCTCCCTTTGCTTCATTCCATCCACATATCTGCCAACTTGTCCATTCATTCACGCATCCACCCCAAACTATCAATCTGTTCAGCCAGCCAGCCCAACTATTCCATCTATCCATCCATTTGTCGCAAACTATTTATTCATTCTTTCATCCATCCATCCACTCATCTATTCATCTATCCACCCAACCATCTACCCTTCCATCCATCCATCTATCCATCCATCCACCCACCCACCCACCCACTCATCCATCTATCCATTCATCCATCCACCCACCCATCCATCCACCTACCCACCTACCCATCCATCCATCCATCCATCCATCCATCCATCCATCCATCCATCAACCCACCCATCCATCCACCCATCCATCCATCCACCCATCTACTCATCCATCCACCCAAACATCCATCCAACCACCCATCCACCCATCTACCCACCCATCCACCCAACCATCCACCCAATCATTCATCCACCCATCCACCCACCCATCTATCCACCCATACATCCACTCATACATCCACCCATCCACCCACCCATCCATCCACCCATCTACCCACCCATCTAACCAACCCATCCATCCACCCAACCATCCACCCAACCATTCATCCACCCATCCACCCACCCATCTATCCACCCATACATCCACCCATCCATCCACCCACCCATCCATCTACCCATCTACCCATCCATCTAACCAACCCATCCATCCATCCATCATCCATCCATCCATTCATCCATCCATCCATCCACCCAACCATTCATCTACTCATCCATCCACCCATCCACCCACCCATCTATCCACCCATCCACCCATCCATCCATCCATCAACCCATCCCAAAACATTCACCCATCTATCCCAAACTATTCCCTCTATCCATCCATTCACCCATCCATTCTTCTACCCCAAACCATCCATCCATCAATCTTAAACTATCCCATTCTATCCATTAATCTTCTACCCACCCATATGAAATATCCCATCCATCCAATCACCCATCCGTCCATCCTTTCCTCCATCTCAAACCATCCCAAACTACGCATGAATGAATGCATTCCTCCCAAACAATCTACTTAACATCCCAAGCCATCTTATCTACCTACCTACCCACCCATCCATCCTAAACATCCCATCCACTCATCCCAAACCACCCCATCCATCAATCCATCTATTCAGTCTTGATCCAAAACCAACCATCTATCTATCAAACGAGTATTTGCTATCAATTGAAAAATCTAATAACATGAGAAAGTCTGGGGAAAAAGAGAAGGGGAGAGAAATCCCCTACTTCCCAGAACGAGGTCCACTTTCCCACATAGACCACATTGTGGCTGTCCACTTTACTGGACAGAAACAACTGGGATGACACAGAGGAATCAAGGAGATGCCTGATGGCCTCCAATCCCCATGGGCGGTCGGTCCCTGCATGAAGTAAGCGCATCACAGAACCAAGCTCCTCCTTGCTCTCTAATCTCTCCGCTCACGTCTGCTGGGGTCTGCTCCTGTTGAAGCCAGGCAGTGGGCCAATGGGCCTGGAGCCTCCAGTGAGATTTCTGGACTCACCCACCCCTTGCTGACAGCTCCTGGAACCACTTGGTCACAGTCACCTTAATACAGCCCAGATTTCTGGAGAAGGGACCAGCCTCTCCACCCTTGATGCAAAAAATCCCCACTAGCTTCCAGATCACAGAGCCATTTAGATCACCTGGAAGAACTGGGGATCCAGAGGTCCTGCTGACCACCTCTGGACCACACACGGAGGGACAGGAACACAGGGGCAGAGAGGGTGCTGGGAACCCATCTCCTTGTTTCTGGAAAAACACGCTCCCACTGTGGTGAAGGAGATGGTAGAAGACCCCCAAAGTGCTCATGGCTGCCTCAGTTTCCCTGTGTGCATTTGATAAGGGTCCTCAGAGGGACCTCTGGCGACCTCTGATGGGACAGGACAGTCTGGCAGGAAGGCGGTTGTCCTCAAGTATGCGGGTGCGGGGAGGCACCCCTCTCTGTTACTGTACCCTGATTCAATCTAGGGCCCACACAGACCCCTCCTCCAGGAGTAGATGCCCCAGGACCCCTAGTGGGAGGTCACTGTGCTCTGGGGAAACTGAGTCAGGTCTCCACTCGCCTTCCACCCACCTGCTCTGCAGCTCCACACCTGCCCCGGGCCACCCCATATCTCCTCCCACTACAGTCCCTGGGCGCTGGCCCAGGCCCCCAGTGACCGTCCTCCACCTGGGTCCAGACCTTCATCAGCCTTTCACGACTCTGACCCCACCAGTCATGCTCTTTCTCAGCCGTCATCTGCTGGACTCTTCCCTGGTGCTCCATTCACCCCCACCTCACTTCCTGTCATCCTCCACAGGCTCAGACCCTGTCACTCTGATCATGAAGACATCTCCCTTCCCTCCGCCCCTCCTCCCCCCAGGAAAATACATCCCCAGCTCTGGACCCAACAAGAAAGGCAACAGGGAAAGCGAGAGAGAAGGTGTTCTGGGGTATTCTGGACCGGGATTCTGCTTGCTACATAGAACCACTTTATTTTATTTTATTTTCTCTTCTTTTTTTTCCCCCTTTTTTGGTTTTGGCCCACACGCAGCTCTGCTGTGGGTTTACTCCTGGCTCAGGGGTCATTCCTGATGGGGCTTAGGGAATCAGAGGTGGTGTGGGGGATTGAACTGGGGGCCTGCCACATGCAAGCAAGCCCCGGACCCACTGGCCTGTCTCTGGTCCTATTCCAAAGTACATTTTAACCCAAAAAGGAGGGAGATGGGTAGGCATTAGACTTCAGCTGAAATGGCAGCAATGCGCAGATGACTCCAAGGCTGGGCTGGGAGAAAGAAACTACTTCCCAGGTTGGAGCAACAGTGCAGCAGGCTGGCACTTGTCTTGCACAGGGTTGACCCACGTTCAATCCCTGGAATCCCATAAGGTCCCCGAGGCTGCTAGGGGTGATCCCTGAGCACAGAGCCAGGAGTAAGCCCTGAGCACCACTGAGTGTGGTCATAAAAGCAGAAGAAGAATGAAAGAAAGAAGGAAAAACAGAAAGAGAGAGAGAGATAGAAAGAAAGGAAGAAAGAAAGAGAGGGGGAGAGAAGGGAAAGGGAGGGAGGGAGGGAGGAAGGAAGAACAAAAGAAAGAGAGAGGAAGGAGAAAGGGAAAGGAAGGAAGAAAGGATAGAAAGAAGGAAGGAAATAATGAAGGAAGGAAGGATGGAAAGAAAGAAAGAAAGAAAGATAGAAAGGGAAAGGAAAGGAGGGTAAAGGGATGAAGAAAGGAAGGAAAGAGGGAAGGAAAGGAAGGAAGAAAGAACAAAAGAAAGAGAGAGGGAGGAGAAAGGGAGAGGAAGGAAGGAAAGAAAAGAAAGGACCCAAAGAAAGAAAGAAGGACAGAAAGAAAGAAAGGGAGAGAGGGGAAAGGGAGGGAGGGAGGGATAAAGGTATAAAGAAAGGAAGGGAGGGAGGAAGGAAGGAAGGAGGGGAGGGAGGGAGGAAGAAAAGGAAGGAAGGAAGGAAGGAAGGAAGGAAGGAAGGAAGAGAAGGAAGGAAGGAAGGAAGGAAGGAAGGAAGGAAGGAAGGAGGGGAGGGGAGGGGAGGGCAGGGGAGGGGAAGGGAGGGGAGGGGAGGGAGGGAGGAAAGGAAGGAAGGAAGGAAGGAAGGAAGGAAGGAAGGAAGGAAGGAAGGAAGGGGAGGGGAGAGGAGGGGAGGGGAGGGGAGGGGAGGGAGGGAGGGTGGGAGGAACCACTTTACTTTCCTGCTGCCACTTCCCTCACCGGCTTTGCCTGGGCTTGGAGCTTTGCTGGAGGAACCCCCCTGGGGTGTTCGAGGGGAGCACAGCCTGGTGTGTGTTTGGGGGCGCACAGGGCTGGAGGCCCAGGGTGGGTGTCGGAGGGTGGGCATGTCAGAGCGCTGATGGCAGTGAGGGGCCTTCAGTAGCCCCCCTCAAGACCTGGCCCCGCCCTCTGGTGAGCCCTCAGAGCCGGGCTGTGCTGGGCCAGAGCAGGGAAGAGGAGTGTTGCGAGAGGGACAGGCCGGGTCAGGGCTGAGGGCAGAGCAGGCTGGGTGGTCGATCCCCGCACTGAGGAGAGACTCCCTAGCACCGTGCTGGGGCCATCCCCCAGCACCGTTGTGTGTGGGTGGTCTCCAAGCAAAGAAAGGGTGACGAGCGAGGTTGAGTCTGACCAGCCTTTGCAGAATGCAGTTCCCCTTCTGACCTCAATTCCTCCGGAGGGAACAATGTGGAAACTGCCTTAGCCCATGACACGCCGACAGACTGAGAAGCCAGGCCCGGCACGGAGGGTGGAACCCAGAGACTGTCCTCCCGGGATTGGGTGCTGTCCCCTGCACCCCTGTTCCCACTTACTCTTCCAGAACCTTCTCCGCTCCGAGTTTGCCCAGGAGCATTTGGAACTGTGTCTCATCGTCTCCGTCCTCTTCCTGGCCCAGCTCCTCTTCCCCTTGGGCCTGGTACACCTTCTCCTCCTGGAGCGGGACCACCTGTCCCCCTGGGCCAACCTCGTCCTCACGCGGCTGGTTCTGGCTGAAGAAGAAGCGACCTGGGTGGAGGGCAGGAGGTCAGTGCTCAGGAGGCTCGGCTGTGGGTCTCGCCAGGAAGCTCTTCTCTCTCCCGGCCCCAGTCACCATCTCTCATCGGAGAGAAGACAAAGGGGTCCCTGCCTCCCCACTCCCAACTCACACACCTGTGCAGATACCCTGGGAGTCTCCCACTTTGGGTCTGGAATCTTTCCCATGGCAGTGGGATTCGGTCAGAGAAGTCGGGGGCTGGTGAGGTGTATCGGCAGAGAGCAAGATCAAGACTGGCCCTTACCGGGGCTGGAGTGATAGCACAGCGGGGAGGGCATTTGCCTTGCACGCTGCAGACCTGGGTTCAATTCCCAGCATCCCATAGGGTCCCCTGAGCTCTGCCAGGAGTAATTTCTGAGCGCAGAGCTAGGAGTAACCCGTGTGCATTTCCAGTGTGACCCAAAAAAGAAAAAAAAGACAGGGCCTGACCAATGTATTTAAAAAAAATCTTTGGGCTACTTCCAGCAGGACTCAGTGCAGGGATCCCTCCAAGTGGGGCCCGGTGACCCCCAGTGGGGCTGGAGAATGGAACCAGAATGGCTGTGTACAAGGCAGTGCCTTAACCACTGTACTCTCTGGGGTCTCACAAATATATCTTATCATCTCTCACTTCTCCCTTTGTCCCACCTCCCAGTCTTTTTTGGTTTGATTGGTTGGTTTTGGGCTACACCTGACCCTGGCAGTGCTCAGGACTGACTTCTGGCTCTGTGCTCAGGGATCACCCCTGGCCTGGGTCAGGGGACCCTATGGAGGACTGGGAACTGAATCAGGGTCAGCTGTGTACAAGACAAGAGCCCAACCCACTGAACTATGGCTCTAGGTCTCTGATCAATATCTGATCAATATCTGATCGATGTCTGATCTGAGGGTGCCGCTCTTGGTTGCTTCCTTTTTGCTCACTTCCGGTGACCAAGAGAACGATGAGTCTGCTCCAGCCCCCTCCGGTGACCGCCCAGGTCCTCGATCTGGCAAAGTGGGCGGGACAGGCTCACCCCATTTCACAGTCCCCTGGAGCCAAGTTTCCTTCCTGCCCCCTGTTTCTGCCAAGCCTTCTGGCAGCAGGTGGCTTTGGGGCACAGAGAAAGCAGGACTGGGGGCATCTGAAGTAGCATGTGGAAAGGGGCCTGATGAGACCGACACCCAAGGACAGTAGACACAAGGGCCAGGAAGACAGCTCCATAGTTGGAAGCCGGCTTCATGAGCTAGGGGAGAAGGCAGCTGGGATGGAGAAGGGACCACTAAGTCACTGATGGTTGGAGGGATCACTCGGGATGGGAAATGTGTGCTGAAAGTAGAGAAAGGACCAAACAGGATGGCCTCTCATTACATGCATTGAAAACCATAATGCCCATAAGTAGAGAGAGAGTATGGGGAATATTATCTGCCATGGAGGCAGGGGGAGGGTGGGAAACGGGGGGGGTACACCGGGGATATTGGTGGTGGGGAATGTGCACTGGTGGAGGGATGCGTGTTTGATTATTGTGTAAGTGTAACTCAAAGATGAAAGCTTGTAACTGTCTCATGGCGATTCAATAAAAAAGGGGGGGGATAAGCATGCAAGATGGGAGGCATTATTAGTGGAGTAGGAGAGCTTGCGAACCACCCCCTCCTCACCCAGGACAGATAGACCAGCCCCCTGGGATCCCAGCACCCGGGAGTACTTACTAAACCCAGTGGTGAATTCATCCGGGGTGAGGAAGCCGTTGCCATCAGCATCCAGGGCGTCAAACACATCCTCCAGCTCCTCCAGGCTGAGGGGCAACTCCTGGTGCAGCCTCTGCAAATAGCACCAGCCACACTGGCCATCAGCGGCGGGCACGGGTGGGCAGGGGTTGCCATGGCCCTGCAGAGCACCCCTACCCCCCAATCAGGTCTGTTTTACATAGCATCTCTCCGGAGTCCACCCTTTGACTATGAAGAGCACTTGCCACTTGAGGTGACCTGCCCAAGAGTGAGGTGACTTGAGGCTGGAGTGACAGCACAGTGGTGAGGGCATTTGCTTTGCACGTGGCCAACTTGGGTTCGATTCCCAGCATCCCACTGGGTCCCCCGAGCACCGCCAGGAGTGATTCCTGAGTGAATGAGCCAGGAATAACCCCTTGCATTGCCGAGTGTGACCCAAAAAGCAAAAAAAAAAAAAAAAAAAAAAGTGATGGCTTCGAGGCCAGCAGCACACTCTAGGGGTAAAGGCAGCTCAGATAGAGAAGGGAGCACCAAATAAAGGGTGCTGGGAAGATCTGCCCAGAATGGGAGATGCATGCTGAAAGTAGACTATAGACTGAACATGATTGCCACCCAATGCCTATTTTGCAAACCACAGCACCCAAAAAGAGAGAGAAAACAAAAGGAAATGCCCTGCCACAGGGGTGGGGTGGGATGGGGGGATGGGGGAGGTGGGAGGGATACTGGGAGCACTGGAGGTGGAGAATGGGCACGGGTTGGGAGGGATGGGTACTCAATCATTGTATAACTGAAACCCAAGCACAAAATAATTGTACGTCTACAACTGTACCTCATGGTGTTTCACTAATAAAAAAAAAAAGAAAAATGGTGGGAAACTGCCCCCTTAACCCAAGCCCTAAAATTGAGATAGTCCTCTTGGGGAAAACAAAAACAAAACAAAAACAAAAACAGCTTACCTCATAATCTAGGCAAGGAAACATGAGGCCAGGGAAAGAAGAGATAATTGGGCAAGCAAAAATCGCACCCCAAAAAGTAATAGAATGAAACAGTTTATTATTCTTGAACTGTTGAGGGCACCAGAAGCAGGAGCAGAGTGGGAGATTGTCACCACTTTACTCTGGGATTCAGGGCGCCTGTTGTTTGGCTCTGTTTGGCTCTCGCCTCTGCTCTGCCTGTACCCATTAAAATTTGATGTGCTTCCTGACCATCTTTACCGTCTCTGTCAACTTAAATGATGGCTCCTGTGTTAGCAGCCGGAGCCGGGGAGTGATATGGATGAAATAAATGGTCAGTCTGTGAGCTCACTCACGGCTGCCCGGGCCACCCTGGGGCTTGGGGAGTTCATGTGTGTTTGTCTCTTTGTGTGCTTGTCTCAGTCTCTGTAACCAACCCCCACTGGGTGGACATGGAAGGTGCCAACCCGATTTGGTTTATCGTGGAAAAGCGCCACACAACTTACAACTACATAAATAGGCGTATGTTTATCAATGCGTTAACAGGGACAATTTTCAGAAGGGTTGGGCCATGCCCAGTGGTACTTGGAAGTAACTCCTGGCTCATCTGTTCCAGGGTTCACTCCCAGAAATGTTTGGGGGACCGTTTGTGGCGCCAAGGATAGACCGGGAATGACCCTATGCAAGACAAATGCCTTACCTGCTATACATCTCTCTGGCTCCGAGTATACACACACACACACACACACACACACACACACACACACACACACACACACACACATCATACACTGTAGCACTGCACTGTCCTCCCATTGTTCATCGATTTGCTTGAGCGGGTCCAGTAACATCTCTATTGTGAGACTTGTTGTTACTGTGTCTGGCATATCAAATACAACACGGGGAGCTTGCCAGGCTTTGCCGTGCGGGTGAGATACTCTTGGTAGCATGTTGGGCTCTCTGAGGGGGGCAGAGGAATTGAACCCGGGTCAGCCCAGTCAGCAGCATGTTAGGCAAACACCCTACCCACTGTGCTATTGCTCCAGTGATATACTCATCGATCGATATACACATCATTATATATATATATATATATATATATATATATATATTTGCATTTGATTCTCCAGACCATCCTCTCTGGTGGGAATTTTTTTTTTTTTTGCTTTTGGAGTCACACCCAGTGTTGCACAAAGGTTACTCCTGGCTAATTCACTCAGGAATTACTCCTGGCGGTGCTCGGGGGACCCTATGGGATGCTGAGAATCGAACCCAGGTCAGCCCTGTGCAAGGCAAAATGCCCTACCCACTCCAGCCCCCTGAGATGGGAATTCTTTATTTGGTTTTGTTTGATTTTGTTGGGGGGAGCCACACCTGGTAATGCTCAAGTCTTACTCCTGGCTCTGCCTTTTGGAATAACATCTGGAGGTGCTTGGAGGACCACGTGGGATTACAGGAATTGAACCCAGTTTGGCCATATGCCAGGTTCTTGCTTTACCCGCTGTATTATGGCTCCGGCCCCACGAGGATGACTTTTCACAAGAAAATAGTAGGGAGAGCGGACCCCTGATGTTAGATGTGAATTTGTTAAATTAGTCAAACGCATCAGCCACACACTGCTGGGCCAGCTAAAGGCTAAATGTCGCTCACATCAGGATGGTTTACCTGAGCCCAGCACCAGGAGATGTGATATGCTAACTATTGTCCACTCGCGGGACAAGATGGGTGATGTGTGCTGACCATGCAGTTCTGTGCCAAACACCAGGACACGCAGACCCTCACGCGGAGTGATGCAGAGAAGCTGCCCACTTGATGGAGGGAGGGCTGCAACCATGTCCTGTTTGCTTGTCATTTGACCAGAATGTGTAGCAAAATATTATGCTTACATGATAGACAATGCAGCTCTCTGTTAATCTCATGTTTCCATCCCTCGCTTTTTTTTTCTTTTTGGGGATGGAGCGATAGCACAGCGGGTAGGGCATTCGCCTTACAAGCGGCCAACATGGCCGACCCGAGTTCGATTCCTCCGCCCCTCTCGGAGAGCCCGGCAAGCTACCGAGAGTATTCGATATGCCAGACACAGTAACAACAAAGTCTCCAATGGAGACGTTACTGGGCCCGCTCGAGCAAATCGGTGATCAATGGGAAGGCCTTTACCTTTACCTTTACCTTTTGGGTCACATGCAGCGATACTCAGAGGTTACTCCTGGCTTTGCACTCGGGAATTACTCCTGGCAGTGCTCGGGGGACCCTATGGAATGCAGGGACTCGAACCCGGGTCGGCCGTGTGCAAGGCAAACGCCCTCCCCTCTGTGCTATCGCTCTAGCTTTAGCACCGTCGTAGCTTTCGAACATAGTTTTTTGAGTACCTCAAAAATGCAACTTCAGTGTTTGGATCAGTAGTTGAGTGGATTGGAGGCCCAGGACCCCTGGGGCTATGACCGGCTGACCAGAGCAGGGGGGAGGAAGCAGGCGGAGAGGGAGTAGGAAGGAAGAGTGTAGATTCTGTCCTGTTCCCCAGAGGTGTCTCTGCTCTCTCACTGTGTGGTAATGAACTCAGTGAGAAGTGTCAGGCAGAAGACTGACACCCTGCTCCGCATCTGGAACTTTCTATGGACACACATTTCAGGGTTTCCATCTGAGGAACAGCTGGGGGAGTTCCCATGGCCACGACCCTCTAGGCTGGGGCTTCCCCAGTCCTTTGATGAAGAATTTGGACAAGAAAGTAGGAGGAGGTTCATGTACTAAGAAAGTGCTAGGCGTGACTCCTGGAAAGATCAAACCACATTCAAGGACAGGAGGGCAGGACCTGCGCACTCAGGACCAGGAGCAAAGTGCTGCTATGGCTTCCCTTGGGCCTTTATTTTTTTTTCTTGGTTTTTGGGTCACACCTGGCAATGCACAAGGGTTACTCCTGGCTCATGAACTCAGGAATTACTCCCGGCGGTGCTCGAGGGAGCAGATGGGATGCTGGGAATCAAATCCCGGTCAGCTGTGTGCAAGGCAAACGCCCTCCCCACTGTACTATCGCTCCAGCCCCTTCCTCGGACCTTTGGGGTTTTGCTTTTTTGCTTTTTGTTTTTTGCGTTTTGGTTTTTCTTTTTCTTTTTTTTTTTTTTTGCAGGGGGTCATATTCATGCTCAGGTGCACAGGGCTTACTCCCGGCTCAGTGCTCGGGGCTCACGCCTGGGGGAGACTGAGCCCAGGTCAGTCATGTGCAAGACAAGCACCCTACCTTCTGTCCTGCCCCTCCGGCTCATCGCACAGTGAGTCCAGCCCAGGCCAGGCTGCACGGTCTACGTCAGTGTCCTCTCCTGCCCCGGTCAGCCATGTGTCCAAGTCAGGGCACCCCAGGGGAACTCATTATACCCAGGCCGACCTTCTGCTTTCCTCCAGTTCCCACTGGGAACCAAGTGGCCTGGTGTGGGCGTGAGTGACAGTCAGCCTAGGGCCATGGGCAGAGGGTACATGCCAACCGGCCGTCCACACGCCAGACAAGAGCCAGCAGGTGTAGAAGTCTAATCTGCAGGGACGTCGAGTGGGTTCTTAAAGCAGGTCCTCTCCAAGGGAAGCCATTGAATTGCATTCGGCAGGTCCTGGCTTGCAGGGAGCCTGGGCTGCACAGCAAAACGGGGCGAGAGGAGGATGGAGAAGCCATTTAGGAGAGCTGCATTAAATATGAATAAGGTTGGATGCTGTTTGAAAGGGGAGGGAGTGCCAGTGTGGGCAAAGGTTCTGGATGTGCTTCTGTTTGGCATCTCGGGGAATCTCTGATGTGTCACTGGCCCTTAAATCCGCTGCCTCCAAAGCCACAGGAAGTAGAATGAGGGTGGAGGACGGAGCCTCGCATCCAAGCAGCATTATCAGCCGTGGTTACTTGGCAGGTAGATCCGAGTTCTCAGATCAGCCAGGTGTAGTCCTTGCCCCCGCGAATCCTCCCTGCCCTGGTCTAGGATGTCTCCACTGAAGACCAGGATGGTGATTCCTCACCCTCCGTCTTCCCTTTTTCACTCAAATCACCCCGCTTACCCCCAAGAGGGCACCTTTCTTCCTGATAGCGGGAGCCAGGAAAAACTATTCCATGCCCCACCTTGGGCTCTAGCCCTGAATCGAGCAACACTTCCAACCACAAAAATCCTAC